GGTAACAATTTTCACTCCAGGATATTGTTTGCCCCTTTTAAACCAGGAAGAAAAATCAAGAATTTTCCGAAAATGCCATTGATTGAACGCTCACGAGTGCGGTCTTCATTCAACAACTCAAGGCTGTCCAGAAGGCCCACGATGCGGCGCTGAAGTCCCCGTCCCTACATCGGAGCGGCCCACGATCCTACCCCCATAAAACGGGGGTGGAATCCTTCAGGAGCCCAATAAAGTTTTTCATCCATTCATCCATCCATCCTTGAATACAACGCGTTGGTCCATCGCGCGTTTGGAGAATCTCGTTCCCCGACTCCATAACATGATTGCTGGGGGAGTGTAAGGAGGAGAGGCCACGACGTCTTACTTAGCTCCTTACGCAGCCCGGGACGTGCCAGCACGTGAGCGTGTTCTGGCTTGGGCCAGCTGTTGCGCGTGCGCAGTAACGATGGGCACGCCGCACACAGGTTTGAACTTTGCCATACGCTGCTTCGCATATGAAAACATTTCTCTTTGTCATAATCGATTTCTCATATGGCTGCGGTATATGTGATTTTGCCTGCGTTTCACCAAACGACGGCGACATACTCCAAAGTATGTCGACATACGCCTGGCCTCCTATTGTGCTCCGCACCTAAAGATTAAGGCAGCTTTGCACTCGGGTGTCCAGCCTGAAGGCCATGCGAAACTGGGAAGCTTTCGTTCTTTTTTTTTTTTCGTCTTTCCCCACCTTTTATTTTTTTCTCAGTTTTCGTTTACGTTCTTCTTTTTATTTCTATTAATTTCTTCCACTCTCTTCTTTCTATTTTCCTTCCTATTTTTCCTTTCTCTCACTCTTTCTTTCGCGCTTGCTTTTTCTTTTTATATTTTATACGTGGTTTCTCCTGCGTCGTCCCAAGCGCACAATTTTGTTTTTAGGAGTGCTGCTGGTGATAAGTGATCATTAACCAGGTGCTAGAAGATTCAGAGGAAGAGAACTTCTTCCAAGCTTGAGCATATGCGCTTAATATGCTACACACGGAGCATTACGTCAAGGGGCGAGGACGGCGTACTACAGCACGTTACCACCCGGTTTCTTCAAGGGCTCCACACATGAAAAAAAAAAAAAAAATCTTAGGTACACATGAGCAAATACAACAGTAATACTTGACGCATATCTGCCCCCCCCCCCCCCACCCTCTCTTGGAGTAAACTTAAAAATCAGATCTGGAGAGCAGCCCTTCGCAGTAGTTTTGAAGATTTCGATAAGTAGTTAAAGTCACCTCTTGCCCGAATTGCTTTGTCGAAATTCATGTGAATTGTTGATCCTTCGTCGCTCTTTAAGGTTCCGCTGTCGACTCATTGAAGAACGTCGAACGTGAAACGTAGCAGGACCACGTTGGGGGGGGGGGGGGGGGGGGGTGTGGTCCAAACACACCTGCTCATAGAATTTTTCTATCTGCCTGTCTGTGGTTGCGTAACTCAGCGCAACGGGTTATGCATACTTTTTTTTTGCTAGAGACCTGGGCACCTTTACAATTGATGGCATTAGAACGCTAACAAAGACGAACACAGGAAGAAAATTAGCGCTATCGTACGTCATGCTGCGTTAGTTCTCGCCTGCCCAGTGTATACCAGTGCATTATTTTTGAGCGTCCTTCTTTGTGCTTAAGCGGTGCGCTGCCGATACAGTTGATACTCTTGTCGTTCTTGCACAGAAACCATCGTGAGTTGCGCAACTGAGCAGGACACACGAGAAGGGACAGACGAGAACAACTTCTCGTGTGTCCTGTTTGTTAGCACAACTCACGATCGTTTCTATGCCCAAAAGTCAACGCTTAAAATTGTCGTCCTTGCTTTGCCCTTGCGGCGAAACTGTGTCGTTTTTTTGTTCCCGCCCAATAGATGTCATTTCAACCCTCGCTAGCACACAAACTAGTGATTTGACTTCAAATGGACTTTGGCATTTATCAACCGCACCACAATCTTAGAACTCAATCTCATCTACACATACTTAGTTTTAATGCGCAGAAAGTGGTAAATGCCCAACTGGGCAAGAAAACCCTGTTCAAAAATTCCGCGAGACCACACAACGTTTCCGTTGCATTACTACTGCCATCTATGAACCGTAGTGAAAACCTCACAACAATTTTGTCATTTGCGGCGCAAGAGGGCGCAACGTGTATTCAGGAGGGGGGGGGGGGATTTTTAAAACATTTAGATGAAGCGCGTACATTATCGGCATGCGTATAATATGTTGTCCTTTCTCTCAAAATCTTCAGTTGAAAATCAGCGCTCGTGTGGTGCATTCTTAGCCCTTCTTTGTACGTACATTACATAAAGGAACGTGCTCTTCACCAGCATCGGTTCTCTTTCCCCCTTCATTCCCGCCAACCTTGGGATCTCCAATTACAGGCTGCTTGTTTAGAAGATAGGGAAGGATCCTGGTAATATAAACTTTGTGTGGCAGGTATATGAACCATGCCGATGACTTAATTTTCTTGACTGATTCCCTCGACGAGAAGAGTTTAGATTCTACGATGAAACCTCATGAGCACCCCCCCCCCCCTCTCCCCGACCGTAGCTAAGAAATTTTTTTCGGTGGGGGGGGGGGGGGGAGGAATTTTAATTGAAAGCCTAAAAAACACCCATTTTAATTGGCTATCCTGGCTAAAACACCCACTACATCGCAATTTTGGGAGGCGGGCAAGGGCACCCTGTTTACTACGGGCCTGTACTCCCCTCTTTCTTCCTTTGAAAATAGAAATGTTATGTGTTTCAGTGCAAATTGTGCGGAACTATTATAAATTACTCACTCATTATGACTGCAGGTGACGGTCTCACAATTGGGCGAACTAAGATGATCTAACGAAAAGAACAAAAAGAGTGCACTGTTGCACGAAGCAAATGCTTAAATCTCTTGACTGAATTTGACAAATAGACTTTCCGAATATGTATAGAACTCAAACTAAGAATAGTGGAATAGAGTATTGCTTCATCTACTTCATTCGGTTTAGCCTCCCAAACAGTTAGCCAGCAAAGGTGGTTTACACAAGTAAAAACTGTAAAGCCACAGCAAACCAACAGTACTGAGCTTTGTCCCATGGCATTGCTTGTGCATACTACACATCTGACAATGTACAATGTGTTAAAACTGCTATTACAAGCATGGTGCAATTAACTAAAGCTGCTTAATTGTGCGAATTTAATGCTGAAGCTTCATGTTTTATTAATCAAAAGAACAAAAGAAATCAGAAATAAAAAAGGAATGCTGCTGAAGCTAATGCTTAAACACAGGGACTTTTCTTCAGGACTAAGGTCGACGAATAATGCTGTATAATAAGTTTAATTAGTGATGTTCCTAGTTTCAATTTTTCTGATCACTTTATCGGAGCCCTGAAACACTTATTTCAAGTATATAACCACGAAATTATTTACTGGAAGAGCTTATTGCCTCACGATTTCGGCGCTGCGAACATTTTAAGAATCTGTCCAGTGCGAGCGGAGTTACAAAGGTTTGTCGCATATTGCGAATGCCTTCTCTCTTCTTTCGTCTCGACGAAAGCGCTGGAAGCTAAGCAGAGAGGGACGGCAGGGGCAAAGAATACACGTAATGCACGCCTCGGAACCTCCAGCACTTTTTTTTTCTTCGAAGGCGCAACTTTTTCAGTGTGATTGCGCGCCCACGCGGGGACAAGTTGCAGCCTTTTGCGGCGACCTCTGTAACGACCGAGCGTGCCATGTTCAAATTTCTACGAGTGATTTTTGAGCATCTTCTGTCATTTATCGAGAGAAGAGAAATCAATTTTTATCTGACTTTGATAATTTAATGTGAATTCCAGGCCGCGTGCTGCGCTATATTTGGCTAGAGTATTATCCAGAGCCTCTACTACCAATCAGCAGCATTTTCTGACCATGCTCAAAAAGTGTTGCAGGGCCCCTTTCAGACTCCGTGTTACCCTGAATTTGTCTTGCTAGGAACAAAAGCAATGTCACAATTATGCATATTTTGACAATCTGTTACAATAATGCAGTTACTTTCAGAGCAAATTCTAATAATGGGACTCAGTCAACAACACCTGTCATATCAGCAGTTGCCGTGGAAAGCGTTTGTGCCTACAAGGTCTTAGCGCATGTCACATTAGAGACTTCAGCTGCTTTCAATGTCACATATTTTTTGCCAAGCAAACACTCAAGATATCACTGCCAATAAGAAATGTCAGTTCCCATCTGCTTAGCTGTCCCGCAAAGCCTAGTTGTCTAGTGGCTAAGTTTGCTGCACTCTGGAGAAGTCTATTGAATAGAAGAAAGCAATATGCATTATATTCAAAGTGTAATTTTAACCAAGATGTTAAGTACCTTTTGCATATAATAATGACAGAAGGAAATTCACGTATCGATTATTAGACAAGAACAAACACATGGGACAAGAGCAACACGTTACACAGTACGCACACAGGGTACTGGTTTACAAAAGTAGACCAGAATATGCGAATCCCAATAAGCATACACTTTTTACACCTACTTGATTCATGCACTCACACTCCTTTATATTGACAACATTTTGTATGAGTGTATGAACCGAAATCACACATTAAATTACCACATTTCAATAAATAGTCAGGCTTCAGTCTAAAAGTGACTGTACAAGGCTGAAGTCTACGTATACAACAGGTAGTTCTCCCTAGGGCTTCACAACCTTGGTGCGCATTTGAACACCTACCAAGTATACCTATTAAAAGACTAACAGTATGCTTTAAAGATATAAGGACTTGCACAGCAGTTCAGCAACTCAAGAAGTCATGGACAACTCAAGAAGTCATGGGAGTTATTTGGTGCATTATTGCCAAGCTGTAAACTTTCACTCAATTAAATGATTAATTAAAAAAAAATTGTATGATTAATTAAAAAAAACATTGTAATCACTGTTGCAGTGCAAAGATTTAGTTGGTGTATGTGATGGCCAGCTCTTCCGATAAGGGGATAATGTTCATGTACGACCAAGAACTTACGATACAAAGTTCCTTGAGAAAAATTAAAATTTAATGCAGTAAATACAGGAATCTTCCATGCCACACCCATCGCACATCCCACAAGTTAGCAGCTCTAAAACACATGTGCCTCCAATTGTGAAAACACTCAGTTTGAAAGAAAATAATTTAAATCGTTGTAACACCACAAGTATGAAATGAAAAAACCGGGCATGCACAAGTTAGTCACAAACAGGCACACACTCAAATACACAATTATATGTAAATGAAAGACTAGGTTTGGGCATTTTACTAGAATTGCATGTGAGTCATAAGCTTATCTTAACTGCTCAACACGTCAAACTTTCCAAGGTAATACACAAAAATGTGTCACTTCTAAAAAGGATTGTGGCTTGGATAATACAGACTGAAGCAACAAACTCATTCTTTTCATATAAGCATAATGGTATGATCCATTTTAATGATACTTGGTTATGCAGGCAACTTAAGTACTGTGTGAAACTGCTAAAATGAGCATCAAAGTGTCAGTGTATAAAATAATAAAAAAGTGAAATTCTATAGCCATTCAGGGCACGACACGTCGACAGGGAACAATAAATGACTGCTTGATGGAAGCATAGGAGATTTTTCAAGATGTACTATACCTGAACAGTTGAGGTATATGGTAATGTTTGACTGTAATGAATATCCCAACTAATGGCTCACGTTAGCTGAGCTCCACACTCTACAGATTAAACTATTATAGTATACGAAATATTGTTCATAATTTAGTGGCAGAAAAGAGGGAAAGACATAACCACAAAACCGAGAAAATGCTGAATCATAAGCTCGATTAAAACAGAGCAAATTTTTTAAAAGACACTACAAAAGTGCCCTCACAAATATTTTGACCCCAACAAAGGCAAGCATAGTTCACAGCTATTGAGACATTATGTGTGAATACGAAGTGACTAGATGAGGACATATGACAGTATGAAAACAATTCTCTAAAAACAGCGAGCAATAAGAGAATGCTGCTAACAATAAAAAAGCTTAACCAATAGCATATAATGTGCACACACAAGAAAATTCTCCAAGTCAGTGTTCGTAAGCATATGCATAATTAATTTCAACTTTTAAAAAGGGTATAGAAAGGTGGCTGCAGGAGCTGCAGTTTCACAGGGCTCAGATTTAAATTGGTCTGTGCACCCAATAAGAAGCATCAATATTGTCCTTAAATAAAACTAAATATGAATACGAAGCATTTAAAGTATTTTAAAGGCTTATAGCTACTGGCTCGTCGCAAAATGAAGATTATTTGAAAGGGACAATTGTTTTTAACAGGCCTTAGATTAAATTACGTTTTTGCATTCTGTAGAAGTATTGCAAAACCACCCTGCGTAATCATGAGCGATCTGATTAGACATTATAACAATGATATGCATAAACTGAAAGGCAAGAAAGTCTCGAAAGAAGTACTCGATCACGTTTCGCTATGACATTTAGTCACACTTGGGCGGCACCTCTCCTTTCCACCATGAGTCAGGAAACATGTACTTTAGCACTTCGATGCCATCATGTGGAACATTCACCGCAGCTCCCAGGAACGTTGTCTCTTTGAGCGGGGGTGTCAGTAGCGACACAGGAAAGCAATGCAATGTGTCACACGAATCAGGCGGCAGCAGCCTGTTTTTCCAGCCGACCCTACGCACTCGGTGAACGATTTTGTCTTCTTCAAAGACGTACAAGTACACCTCACATGCGCTGCTTCCATCCTTGAGTTTTGCTCTGTAGAGCCCGTTCGCCGAGTCGTAATAAGCATTTACGCCATATCTACGAAATGACTTCAACAGTTGGCCTTCGTCTAGATCAGAGAGCTCTTCATTACGAAGACAAAGCTCGACTTTGTTCGTCCAAGGCAATGGCTGCTGGTCTTTCAACGCACCCCAGAGGGCATAATAGCACAGGTAACTAGAGACTCCCTGGGCTGTGAGTGAGTCCAACACCTTCGGAAAAAGTGATAAGAGGCACGGTCCTGTGTCAGATGTGCGGCCACAGCCATTGGCTTCTTCCGACTTGAGGATGTAGTTGAGAGTGAGAAGCAGAAGGCCTGCCGCAACAAGGTATGCCAAGAGTCTCTTTCGACGAAAGTGTGGCAGGTTCATTTTGCACCTGCGTTGGAGGAACAGAAACAATGCGGCAAGGAAACAAGCATAATGGCTGCAAAGTTACGTGGGAAATTTAGCAGTATGGCTCTGGTACCAGGCTTAGCCAAATACCTGCAGTAATATACTTCACTTAGGGAGAATGAGGTTTCCAAAAAATCTTTCGTACTCTATCGTGACAACGGTCCATTCCACACATTTTTTTTGTGTGAAAATTCATTGAATGACACTCAAAAAAGTACTCAATGTGCACATAAAAGCGAAGGGCATGATAGTGCAGGGCACCGGAAACTTCGATCATTGGGCTCTTCAACGTGAGCTGTCGTAGCACACGATGTAGGGCCCCTATTATTATATTGCCTCCATCGAAATGCGACCACCACGGCTGGGATCGAACCAACGTGTTTCGCCTCAGCAGTTCACAATAACTGCCTTACGACAGCAACGAACAGATTATAGCTAAATTCGCTTAGACAGAACCTTGAACAGAACGGAATTATCCATTCTATCCACTCGACACATGCAATTCGATACAAGTGGGACTCAGATGCATAGCTAGGATCCCATTTCCACGGGTGAGCGGTGTGTCTATAACCCCATTTGAATACCTGCGTGTAATGTATATTTATATACTTACTCCGTCCCTACCTCCGGCTGTCTTTCAACACTGAAACGAAAGCAAAGCAACGACCTCAGTGGCTAGAACAAAAGCACGAAAAACGCACAGACGCGCAGATTAGATAAAGTACGGCGAGACAACAGTTAACACAACGCCTGCTTTAGATAGAGAACAAGTGTAATGAACAGAGTAAAATCGGCGCAAAACGGGTACTTTTGATTGCGATCGGCGTCTGTATGCAGATCGGATTTCTCTATCTCGACCAACGACGGAAGATATCGATCGGCACAAAAATCACAGATACACCATCAAAGAAAAGTCCTCCGCACATTTTTTTTCTTACGTCTCAAGCAGTGATGTGAAACATTCTTTAACGAGACGACGAGTGAATAGAAATCACAAACACCAGATAGCGTATAAAGCGTCAGAAGGGATCAGCAACAATCGAAGGCCCATATGTTTAGTGACAAAGAAAACAACCAAAACACCAACAACGTACTCAGCTCTTTTTGTCTTATTCTTAAAGGTCAAGAGTTCACGCTACAGACTGCCCCAGCTATAAACGACGTGGCGTTTGTCAACACCGATGCTAAAGGAGCTTGGAACACCTTCTCTAGACGGTATCTTACGCTTACTCGATCGGTCAGCTTGCACATGACTAGACTCGCGGCAGTGAATACAGCGCGCGTATTCGTGCGCTAAATACTTCCTAAAGGCGATCGAGACACTCCACAAAGGTAACGAAGCTAACGTTGCAGAGCAAGCGCTGAAGCGATGTCTTACCTGTTACGAATACGCGTATTCCTGCCGCACCGAAGACGTTAGCGAGAAAGAAAAGGGGCATAATAGCCCATCACATATTTACACATTTAAAACGGAACGTGTGTTCAAAATATCAGCGCCCTTAGGGCTTTACAAATGACGAAAACGGAGACAGAAAGAAAATCACGTCGGTAATTTACAATTGCAACAGCTGCCATCGCGTGGTGTCGATAGCGGCTTACCTGGCTCACATCAGAGACAATCTTGAGCGCTCCAAAGAAATGCACATTTTAGCCCTGAATATTGAAATATATACTCGAAAAAAATATTTAGAGTGCTCTTGCAGGTTCTATTTTTAGAGTACTGCGATTAGATTAAGTAAATTTGCGAGTAGAATGTGGCCTGTGAAAACAAATAGGCAGCAAACAAATAATGCAAAGACTAGACACTAGGGGCGCAGTCGTGCGAGTTTCGGTTTCGGTTGCTGTTTCGCTTTCGTGGATGGGAACACAAGGCACGTAACTGATTTCAATATGTAATGCTTCTCATATGAAATTTTATAAACAAAAGAGATCAAGAAGGAGAGTGTTTGGAACGAAAATGGTCTGAAGGATTGCGTGTACTTTCTGGAAGAGCAGGCAAAGCCTGCTCCGAACAAAATTTTGTGAACAGGTGGCGAGGAAATGGGGTTGCTTCCAGTATGGGGCTTCGTTTAAACCAATATGATGTATTGAGTGACCGTCTCTTATCAAATTCTAGTGTTACATATGCAAAACTGTAATTAGGTCAACGAAGTTTTTAGCTTTAGCGCCATCATCATTTTATCTTTAGTCATCATCATCCTCATCATCATCAGCCTGACTACGTTTACTGTAGCCTGCAGGACAAAGGCCTCTTCCATGTTCCACCAGTCAACTCGGTCCTGTGTTGGCTGCTGCAATTTTATACCCGCAAACTATTTAATCTCATTTGCCCACCTAACTTTCCATCTCCCCCTAAACCGCTTGTCGTCTCTGGGAATCTCATTAGTTACCCTTAATGACCAGCGGTTATCCTCTGTACGCGTTACATGCCCGGCTCATGTCCATTTCCCCTACTTGATTTCAACTATGATATCCTTCACCATGGTTTGTTCCCTGATCCACACTGCTATCTTCTTGTCTCTTAAGGTTACACCTACCAATTTTCATTTCCACTGATCGCTGTGTCGTCCTCAATTTAAGCTTAACCTTCTTTGTAAGTCTCCAGGTTTCTGTCCCGTAGCTAAGTACCAGCAAGAAGCAGCTGTTATTTACCTTCCTCTTGAGGGATAGTGGCAATCTACCTGTCAAGAATTGAGAGGGCTTTCCAAACGTGCTCCACTCAATTCTTATTATCTAGTTACTTCAATCTCGTGGTTCGGCTCCGCGGTTAATACCTGTCCTAAGCAGACATAGCGTTTTACAATTTGAAGTGCGCTATTACCTATCTCGAAGCGCTGTTCTCTTCCAAGGTTGTTGTACATTGATTTCGTTTTCCGCAGACTAATTTTTAGACCTATCTTTCTGCTTTCCTTGTGTGATAACCGGATAGTCCTGGGCCATGCCGGTCGCTGGACCGAATCACACACACGTACGTTGGCGGGTTCCACACTTAATGGCTGGTCATCTGCGCCGTATTTATTTCCTTGCAACATCGACACCCCCGGCCGCCGGAACGGCAAACTAATCTTATCACACCTTGTCTAACTCCGTAATTTTGAGTTGCTATTTGTCCCTTGAGTTACTCAGCAATGCATTGTTATCGGCAAAGCGCCGGTTACTAAGGTGTTCTATATTACCTCATCCCTAACTCTTCCCATTCAATGCCTCTGAAAACCTCATATAAGCACGTGGCAAATAGCATTGGGGAGATTGTATTCCCCTGCCTTACACCCTTCTTGATTGGCATTCTGTTGCTTTCTTTATGAAGCACTATGGTAGCAGTTAATCCCCTGTAGATTTATTCCACGATATTCATACATGCTTCGTTGACGCCCTGACTCTGCACTGTCTGCATGACAGCTGATATTTCTACTGAATCAAACGCCTTCCCGTAATCTATGAAGGCTATGTATGTACCTCCCATTTCCCACATGCATACGTCACTGAGGTACATGCATACGTATGCATGTACCTCCCACATGCGTACGTTAATTAGAACAGAGTAGTTGGCGGCAATAGCGTAGCCAGGATGAGGCTAGGGTCTCATCGATACTTTATGTAAGCTCGTCCGCGAACTTGTATTTGCACGCATGTATAACTCATAAGAAAGCGAAGAAATTTTTTTTTTTGGGGGGGGGGGGGTTTCTACACTTCCCCCTCACTCTGGCTACGCCAGTAGGTTGGTGGAAGCGGCCACATTCAGGGGGAGGGGCGGCAAATTTTCGCCAATGGATAACTGAACTCCAGCCTCCCCCCTCCCCACCCCCCTCCAAGACCTTTATTCTTGGATGCAGCCTGGAGTAGATGTGTGATGATGATACAGATAAAAAGTAAAAAAAAAGAGTGTGCGTATCCGAGCGTATGTCCGCCTGCGGGTATACGTGTGTTTGTCTCACGCACTGAAATTCTGTAACTTTCAAGTTTGAAATAACCCTGAAATGCATTTCGTTTGTCACCATCTATCCATGAAACGTTATAAAAATGATGTGTTTTGACGAAGTTATACTTGCGTTTTGTTATAACGTATGCTATACTTGTTTTGATTTGTATTTATTTCAATTATTTGATTGATTGTTATGTGTGGTTTAACGTCCCAAAACCACCATATAATTATGAGAAACGCCTTATTTCCTTTATTTAACTATGTCAACTTCAAGTTGTTCTGGACGCAGTTGGTGTTATAATCATAGTAGTAGTAGTAGTAGCGGCAGTAATAGTACTGAAAATAGTAGTGGTAGCTGTTTGTCTTTTCACGGCAGTAGTAGTAGTAGTAATCGGTGTTATCACCATAGTATTAGGTAGCAGCAGTATTAGCAGTAGTAGTAGTAGCAGCTTATCAGTACTTATCACCGTCGAAGTAGTAGTAGTAGTAGTAGTAGTAGTGGTAGTAGTAAGAGTAGTCCTAAATTCTGAAATATATACAGCTCATTCATAAAATACTCCTTATTCCCTCCGAAAAACCATCGCATCATATTCTGCACGGACGGATTTCTATTCTCTTGCTTCCCACTTTGGCTAACATTAACCCTCACTCCAGTGAACTCTTGACATAAAATCCAAGATATCGCATGGCACGATCAAAATTAGAAACAACTCAACTATTGTCATTAGCTAATCTTGCCGTTGATATCTAAGTTTTTTTTTATCTCGTACATTAACGTTACCTATTCCTGTGTCAATCCTGCACTCATGTTTTCCCTGCCGTCTTCTTTTTTATGAATACTTACTGCACCTGATGTTCAGCGCTTCACACCTGGGCATCCATGAAAGTGAGAGTTACTTACAGGTTTTGTCGGGGCCAATGCCTCAAACTTAAATTGAAATAAGCCGAGCTATCTTTAAATTTCCCCTTCGCACAGAATGTACCTCATGCTGCTGCGAATATATTTGCTTCTGCACAGTGGATATAGTTGTTCTGAGACACTCAGCTGCCAGAAGAAAATATGCTGCCTTTTGTGGTGCTGCTATCATTGTTTTCTTCTTCTGATGTATAATGTTTGTTACGACAAGCACCTCAAGAAACAGAGACGGCAATCAGGATGTAGAAGAAACAAATCGACATCCTGAGTATCGTCTCTGTTTCTGTTCACGCACTTTTGTATATTTACAAATGTGTGGTTCTTGATTATTATTTGCTTACTGAGATCTCTTTGCAAACAGGACGAAGAATATTAATCAATGATCGAATCATGCTTTTCTTCGTCAGCCCCAAGTACAATTACGTAGAACGTGAACGGTTAGGGCTAAGAGGGATCCTCAGTTAAAATCAGCGTGCGTCGCCTCTCTTAGCGCCCAGTGTTACAGCCATCCCGGATTTCGCGTTACTGCCCTAATGTTTAATGCAGTGTCACAAGTACCATGCTGTCACTGTCGGGACAGTTATACGTCCTGTATTTGTTACGGTCCATCCAGTTAGAAATTGTATGTAATCTAACACAGCCCTAACAACGTGGGTAGTTTACGGAACACATTGCAATGTTGAGGTGGCTTCGGGTTATGTGATCTAACACAGGCCTAACAACGTGCGTAGTATACGGAACACAGTGCGATGTTGAAGTAGCTTAGGGTTATGTGATCTAACACAGGCCTACCAACGTGGGAAGTATACGGAACAAATCGCAATGTTGAGGTAGCTTCGGGTGGCTTTAGCCACTTTATCGAAACTTCCTCGTGAAGTGCATCAACATGCTCGAGAACATTCTCTAGCAAAAGGAAGTGTTGAGAGCAACACGTAGCCAGCTGAAATACCACTTCAAGAGGCCGCAATAATGAAGAAACAATGGGTTTGTATGAAACATGGCGCAATACACACGATTGATTTCACTTCCTGTGTACGTTGGCGTCCACTCCACCCCTTCCCTCCACGTACCGGCTTCCTTCATCGAAGAGTTAGTAAGCCTGAGGCCCATTCTTTGCGGCGTCACGACGATCAGCCTTACTACGCCCAATGTGGGGCAAAGGTTTCTCCGTTATATGTTTCGCCAAATAAACCGACCAGTCCTGTGCTTCCTGTGGCCACATTTTACTCGAAAACGGGTTAGTCTCATCTGCCAACCTTTTCTGCCTCCCCCTTGAACGCTTGCCTTCTCATGGAATCCACTCTGTTCGGTTACTTTTACTGATCAGCTGTTGTCTTGCCATCATTCTATATGTTTTGCCCATTTATTGTTGGTTTAACTGTCCTAAACACCAGATTGTGCTTTGACCCACTCTGCTCTCTTCTTGTCCGTATAGGTTACTTATAGCATATTTCTTTCCGTGGCTCACCCCGTCGTCCTCAATTCACGTTGAGCCCTTAACGTGAGCCCCCATGTTTCTACGCCATAGGTAGGTAAGCACCAACAAGCTTCGTAGTGTACGTTGATTTGTTTAAGATGATTAGTCCCCCTGACATATTTAGCTAATCAGCTACAGCCTTTGACGGTATCCATTACAGTACAGCATATACTTTTTTCACTTTCTTGACACTCACAATATTAATTGTGTCATCTATCTCTATCATCTCACCTTCCACAATCACACCTCCTACCTTCACGGGAAGG